TATAGCATCTGAGTTACTGAAGAAGTTTGTCTTGATACGTGTTATAATCATGGAAAATTATTAATTACTCACCCCAGCATCAACACCAACGGGTCGACCAAGACGGTCCAATTCTGCTTCTAATTCATCAATATTTTTGTTTATCAATGAAATAATACTCGGGATACGGGCCCTAATTACTGACTCCAAATGCTTTAATAAGACGTGAAATCATTTGTCAGCAAATATAAAATCAAACCAACAAATAACTGCTATCAATTCATCAAGAATAGAGTGGTCCAGATAATTATACCTGAGAAAGCATTTTTGCAAGATACTCAGATCCCATTCTACTAACTAAATGTGAGTAGTCAGGACTGGTAGCAAAGTACTCACGCTCCTTGTGCCTTGCAGCCATCATATCAACATTTCTATTGATATCTGCCTGTGAACGATTCACTATACCCACCCAGGGGCGTTGAAGTCGATAAGATCGTCCTTCAAGAACCTTGTACAATGAAGGAGAGGGTAAAAAAATTGAAGTATCATTCATACAAGTATCACACATTCAAATATAAAATAATAGGTGGATCTAACCCATTATTTTGGTCTTTGGTTTAATCGAGAACTATACAATGAACAGGAAAGAGAATTTGAGCTAAAGGTAACATACTTCCAAGGCATTCGTCCCTTTATCCATCAGATCCAACTTTGTTAGAACACCGAAGGTTCGATCACCTAGAACATTTATGTCAAAAACTCATCAGGACGAAAATATTAAGATGAGAAAACAATTGGATTAAAATATAAGCACATGTAAAGCAAAATCAAAGTACCATTGGGATCCACTTCTTTGGCAAGCTTCATGGCATCTGATGTTGCTATATCTTGATTAGCTGGTGATATTGCCAGAATTATACAATTGGGCTATAAAAGCGAATGCTACAACATTAGAATGACAGTATACTACTTCATTCAACAACTCCAAACCAAATACACTTACCACTTTGAGAGCAAATATATCACTCAGTCATCCACAAATATAGACTCAAACTAGAATCCTCAGTATGAAAAGACAAATAGCTTGGAAGGGGCTTGGAATTTCGGAGGAACTTCATTACTAGGAGAGTTGGAGAGTGGGCCCTTGTTTCAACTTAGGTATTTTTTCAAAACCAAAACACAAGTATGGATATGATTTATTTCAAATCCATTTTAAATTCCCAAAATGTGTTAACCAAAAACCCACTGAGTAATTCAATATGTAATAGCCCCCTCCTCTAAGCTTGTAAAAGAAATCAAAGCATGCAGGAATTTAAGATTCATATATTGCATAGGACTAGACGCTTTATGATTACAAAACAACCCATAAAATTAAAAAAAATATAACTTGCATGGTAACCATGGAGGTGGACATAAAGGTTGTAATTACAGGGTCGGGATGATGAGTAATCAGAATATTATGATAAGAGTACAGACATGACTAAAAATAGATATACAATGATGAAGTTGGTAATTACCTTCTCAACATATGTTCGAACCATGTCTTCAATGTCTTTGACAATACTCTCAGGCTGACCCTCTGGGATTAAAAACCATTAATAAATAAATAACCCGCTCAACAACAAGCTAATAAAGATATAGAATGGCCAATATTCATATATATTCCAAAAGAAGTTGGGAAGCTCACCTACAGCAACCTTTGTCAAACCAGGCAAATCAATGAGGGTCAAGTTGACAACTAAAAAAGCAGTAAAAACAGTGAGAAAATGTTCAATAACACTAGCAAAGCACAGCATAAAGATAGGCCAAGACCTGCATAAGGGACACAAATGATGTAAATTAATAATTTTTACCATTAGGTGAATAAATACTGAGATGAATGGGAACGGGTGATATCATTTTCGACTTTCCCGTTACTCGATCAGTTTCATCTTGGATCTCCTTGCGAACAAGGGCTAAAAAGTAAAGCACATAAAAATTATATTATAATTCAAAAAAAAAAAAAAAAACCTTTGCACAAACCAGGGTAAGATGTGGCAAACAATAATACTATGTAACCAATTAAAAAATGCAAAGCACATTTAGCAAAAACAAAGGTCATGTCAAGACAGTATACATCCTAAAACTGAATAAATTAAAGTATTTCGAAAAAATAATGATCATGTAGCAAGATTACACAAGACTTGGGAGTTGGGAGTATTACATATACTTTATAATGGATGTAAAACGTACAATATATTTAAAACTAGCTACTTTTTTTTTAAAACAGTGCAAATAATGCTAAAAGGATTAGTAGAATTTATAAATTTAGAGCTTAAAACTCTTAAAAGTAGAAATCCTATCAACATGGACTAACCTCAAATCAATTACTAATCAAAACAAAATGACAAAGATACACGAAACGAATGATGCTTCAATTCTACTCCCTCCGTCTCTAAATGTTACTCGTGAATTATAAACAAATCAAAATTACAAGCTAATTAGCTAAAGAATGAGAATTACAAACCAAAACACTAAAACCATAAACCAACCAATACTTAGGCAAGTGCAGAACTCAACAAGAACAAACCTTTCATAATTTACTAATCAAATCAAAATATTATTACACTAATTAAATCATGCTTTAGTTCTAAACCTTCAAACAAATAACAGAAGTAAAAATTAGCTTAATGGATAAGAATTATATACCAAAATCACTGAACTGACGCTTCGGCAAGTGCAAAAACTCGGCATATTCTTGCGATCCATCCTCTGTCTTATGCAATTGCAACACCAACGGCCGTCTCGTCACAATTCCTACCATAATATTTCAAATTTACAACTTTCAAACTCAAAAAATTGGGAAAAAAAAAGCACAAAACATTAAAAAAATAAGAGGAATTAAAAAAACTAACCCGATCCTCTAGGAAGAAAATCACGGCCAACAAAACTCTCAAGAACAGAAGATTTTCCCGAACTCTAAAAAAATACAAAATCACACAAAATTCAACAATCAAAGTTGAAATTCAACTGCAAAAACTAATGAAATTGAAGTTCGAAGAGGAGAGAGAAAATTGATTAAGTACCTGACCACCAACGACGGCGACTGAAGGAAGAGCTTCCCAAAGAGAGGAGAAAGAGGAGTCACCACCGCCATGGTCGCCGAGAACAGTACAAGCTCGTTGAATTCGGTTGACAAGTCCAATCAAACTCTCCATAGTTGACATCTTTGGAAAATTGAAACCCTAGAAAATCGAAGTTTGAGTGTTGAAGAAGAAGGTGCTGGTTATGGTGGTGTTGGTGAAGAAGCAGGGGAGTAGCAATGGAGGAGAGAGAAAGTTGGGGATTTTTGACACGGTGAAGAAAAGAGGGAGTTTGGAAATGTATTGTAATAAAAATATTAATTTAATGTTAAATGAGAAAATATAGGGGGATAAGGAATAAAAGTTATGAGAGTCGTATTTTGGTCAGTCGATGTTTTTTTTTTTTTTTTTTTTATTTCTATTTAAATAAAATTAGATAAAATAAATCATAAAATTCGTAATAATTTGAACTTGGTTTCAAAAAAAAAAAAAACAAAAAGTCTTTGAAGTTTGAAGTTTGAAGTTTCAAATTTTGAAAGAGGAAAGGTCCGGTCCCCACTATTGGTCTATTGCTTACTAGTATTTGCCTTCGGTGCCGTTGGAGACAGCGCGGTGAGGAGCTAAGGTGATGTTCTCCCTTGGTTTTTTTTTTAATTGCACTTTCTTAATGGACATTTTTGTTTTTTTAGTTTACTTGTAAACATGTTAAGAGCGTCTTTAATATGCCACATCAGATATTTAAATTAGTATACTTATATGCCACATCATAATTTTTTTGTAATTATAAAGTGCTACAATTGTTAGTAGTAGCATATTATAGCTTGAAAGACAAATAAATTAATAAGTACGAAATATTTTTTATCATCATTACTAGGAGTGTTAACAAGCTGAACTTGCTCATAAACTGCTCGATGCTCGACTCAGTCAAAACTCAGCTCAACTTGAGCTCGAGTTCGAGTTTGGCTCAAGATCTTAACGAGCTAACCATAAGCTATCCCTGCCTCGGCTCAAAAGGTCGTGATTAAGCTCGAATTTTTTTTTGTATCTTATTAATTTTATTGAATAAATTAATTGTTATGTACATTTTTTTTTTTTTTTTTTTTTTTTGGGAAAACATAAACTTTGTTTTATACTTCATATTATTCACAATACAAGTTTGCGTTCTCACTGAGTGTTGGAGCTTTCCTTCGTGGTTTTTGTTGTTATTTATGTAGAACAAAGACAACGAAAGTAGTCCCTCATCAAAAGAAATGAGCAAGTGATAGAATATAAGAGTTATAAAAGCAAAATTTGATTGTCTTTGAAACAATACTCCGTAAATGTGGGCACAATTTGGGCCTAGCTGATTTTGGGCTTGACAAACCTTGATCAAGCCTCGAGCCGAGCTCAGTTTTTCCAAACTTGACAAGCTTCGAGCTCAAGCCGAGCCTGGACTTGGTTTCGGCTCGACTAGTTAACACCTCTTATCATTACCCACCCTTATGTTGACACATATAAAGAGCGATTTTTTTCCCCTACTTGACATCAACTAGAAGGGGAGAAAGTTTTCGATCAAGCATAACATGGTCAAAAGGTAGATAATAAGCAAGAGAGTGAGAGTTGGGAAGCATAATATTCAAAGTTAGCAAAAGAGTAACGAAAAAATGGTGTTGACCAAAAAGGATTAGGAGCAAGAAATTTGAGCAACCTTAGCATTGATATGTTTTTATTCCTTAACCTCATTTTTATATAACCAATGAACAAACTTGAGAAAGAACAAAACAGTAACTCAATGGCAGACTTGTTGATCAATCAAGTTTGCATAGAGCACCTCTTTAGTTTTTTTTCTCCAAAATCTTGTCGGCTTGTTGCACTGATGAAGGCCAATTTTTACTCAATGAATCTCAAGAGAGAATACTTTTTATATTCTCTAAAAACCTAAATGTTCAATATCCTTCATCCATAAATAAGCAGAGAATGTTTTGGTGTCTCTTCGTAAATCTGTAACACTAATAAGAATACAGGAGTTAGCCGAAGTTATAAGTTCTACATTTAGCAAACACCACCTTCAATAACATTGATAAATATATGTAATTTGACAGACATAAAGTTACAGGAGTTAGCCTCTAGATGTTATGATAACCAATATACTTCGTATTACATACAGCGTGCAAACATTTGTGTCCTGACTGTCCTCTACAATTTAAAGCCATAGTCCGGACTTGGAATGGAAACAATAATGGTGAATAGAGCCTGACCAAAACGGGCAAATTGCAATACACGAATATAAGCAACGGATAAGCAGCAAGAACTGACAGTTGCCCCATTCAAGCAAAAATAGCTATATAATTGTGTGATTTGTGTCTATCAGAGAAGATGGCAACTGTGGAGGGGGACAGGACCGCTTATCTAATTTCAATACAACACGCATTTTCTCCTTCACCCTTATATATGGATTCACATCTACTTGTACACTAAAGTAGGGTATTCTGGGTTCCACATGTTGTTCTCTACATATTCTAGAAGTTCCTCCTGCAAGACAACATTAAATTTCAGTTACTAAAAGAGTCTGGATCCCAATTGAGTGGCTAACATGCCAGACAAAGACGACTTCAAAAGGAAGGCAACAAGTAACAGTTTCTTGTGACCCAGCTCCCAGGTACAGGGTTTCAACTAAAACAAATACATATATAGGAGCATAAATCATAGGCACATGTACGATAAATCTTGGGCCAATGGAAGAAATGCCTGTTAGTATGATAGTTTTTTTACAAAATATAAGTTTAAGTTTGTAATATTACCTCATTTAGTTTCTGGAGTTCCCTAACATCCATGCCACGATAGCCTTCTGCAAGGTCCTCTTCTATAGCCTCCTTCACCACAGCTGCTGCTACCTCTTTAGTGATGTCGCGTATTCTGCACCGGAAACAGTGTAAATAGAGATGCCATGAAATTAGAATTCTGAATTTCTGAAAGCTAAATGCTCCAAAACTAACCTCGATGTTGAAGGATAGATGACACCACTAAGCACCTCTTCTTCAGTCATATACCCAGCTAAGCTGTGAATCAAGAACCAATATCAGCATACTCTACTAACACAGGTCCGTGTTTCATAGCATGCTGGAGAAAATTAGAACCCCTATTTTCATTGAGTGCGTGTACTGAATTCAATCAAACAAGTGAAAGAAAAGTATTGAACCTCCTAGTAACATATTTATTCAGTTTTTTTCGTCTCCATCATACCACAAATAGTCTCTCCTCAACATTATTAGTAACATGTGATATGGGAAAGTTCAGTTTTAACTTGCTAACTTTAAAGTGGCCTATTATAGTGAAAGAGACTATACTAGAAATACAGCCACAAAATTTTAGGAGGAAATGGGCACTAATTTCATTTACAGATACTATGAAAAGAGCATAAGAATCAATTACTACAATCAGACTTAAATGGCTAGAGATTGCAGTCATGAGCCATGTCAGGGGACATCTTTCGTTCTCACTAGCAAGTAGCAACTATTTCTGAAGAGGTTGAGAACTTTTAGGAACACTTAGTAATGAAGGAAAAATGAGCTAGCATCCACATTGCAGTACCTTCAATTGCACCTCGGGATCACAAGGACCAGGCATGACAGATGACTCCTAGGAGCAAATAATAAGAAACCATGCTAAGACAATAACTGATAATATGTGATCAGATTCTGGTAATTTATTGAGCTAATATGATAAAAGTGCATACGCCAAAGAAGAGAAACAGCTGAGATTGGATCTGTGGTCTACAATTAGGCAAAGGAGAAATCATGATAATCCATTGCACATAAGCTTTCAGTAGAAATGCTAATACTTACCGCTCTGCAGCAGCCTGTAACATGCCATCTGAGACTATCTCAGAGCCCGAGAGAAGGGTACCTAGTCCTATCCTGATTGTTCAATAAAAAAGACATTAGTAAAGAAGAATGAAGGGGGCAATTTATATCAGAAGCTAAATGGAACCTTACCCTGGAAAAAGGTACATGTTATTTCCCTGGTTCACATGACCAGTCTTGCCATTTCCTACCATAAAAAAAATGTTCCATTAGAATTACTATACTCCTTTGTCCATTCTCTCAGAAATAATAAAACTACAGTTTTTGGGGTTTGGGGGACCAGGGAGGGGAGAAAAGGGCATACTGTAGTCTCTGTTGGACACGTTAAAATTGCTTTAACCAAGAGGGTAGAGAAGAGAAGACCCAAAGGTGCATAATATTAAAAAAGATTTTCTTGTTCTTCTAGTCAGCAATTTTTCATAAGACTCTAATATAAGTATATACATCTTTTTTTGGAGCTATACGAAGCCCCAAAGGACCTCAATTGTCCATTGCAATTGCCCTTGTGCTACAATTCTTATTTTCTTCCACATTACACTCACATCACTGTGAATTCATCTTTTTTAAAAAAAATTGACCATATTAATTAGAATGAATGCATACCAAGATCCACATTTTGGAATGGGCTTCCACTTGCATATATGATGTGGTCACCAACTGTAGAGAACGCTTCTTCAGGGGTGCATTCAGCTGTCATTAAGAAAATATATATTTATAAAAAACGCTGAAGAAGAGCTGAATATCACCCCAAAGTAGTACAAGCATACCATTTTTTGTAGGATTTGACATAGCAAAGATTGCAGGCTTTGTTGATGTTGAGCCTTTAAATGCTTCCAAGACCTAAACCACATTTAAGAAATGGATTAGCTTTCAATCAGAAAGTGTGCAAAAGTCACAGCTAAACAAAATACAATCATTTTCTAATACAGAAAAGAATCTTTTTTTCAGAAGAGAATATTGGAAAATTCCCGCAGCAACTAGAAGAATGAGCCAATCACATTATATTAAAAAAGATGAATAGTTAAAAAAAAAAAAAAAAAAAAAAAAAAAAAAGCACATCCTTGTACACAAATTGGCCAATCATTTCATAACGAAAACAAACAATGCGAAATTTATATCTAATGACAAATATGTAACTCACTATTGGAAAACTTGTATTCAAAGATTTTCAAAATACTGATTTTATTAGCTTAGAAATGTATTTCGTTAAAGAATTAATGAATTAATAGTCATATTTAATCATATAATTTATTGATATCGCTGGCTTATCAGATGGTCATATTCTATTATCTGCATGCTCTTGTAGTCTTGACCCAAGACCAGCTTTAATTAATTATCATATTAGATCTAATTCATTGCATCCGTAAATGGTGCTTGATTTTTTTTAACTCAGAGCAATTGGAAAAGGAGAGGACAGAGGAAACAATATTCTTAGCAGGAAAGCAAAAGGAGATCACTTGATCAGTTCATACTTCTCTTGAGAACAGACCCCCAACCGCAGATAATCCAAGAAGTACATCAGGTTTAACCTGCCGAACCTGTTTCACGTATGATCAAAATGTAAATGCATCAAAATCACGCAGCCAAAGTCCAACACTTTTGGTAAGTTCAAAGAGCATAAGCCCTTACAAGATCTAAAATTAAATAAATAAATAATTTTTTTGCAAGAAAATACCACAAATTAAGTAAGCTATAGAGAAAAAAAATTATTGTAGTATATCTTTCAAGGATTAAATTTTTTTGGCTCAAGATATAAGTCATCTGAATTAATTGGAGCCCAACTTTATGAATCTATTATGCTTTTCAATCAATGAGATGAGGTAAGCAAAGTGGGATTAATATAACAGGATCAACAAAAAGTACAAGTTTGCAAGAGTTGCATATTTATGTGTAAACAAATTGCACACTCTGTAACTAGTAAGTTGTAAGCAGTGGGGCAGAAGTTCACTAACCACTTCCGCCAGGCTTGCCCCTTCCTTTAACCCTTGGCGATTAATTTCATTAGCCTTCCAAGCAAAAGGGCGGACCTCTGGATCTATATCTTCGCGCTCCTCAGTTATCAGTCCCTAATTTTCACAGTAGATAGCAGCTTAGTCATGATCAATACATGGTTTCTGTTATAAAGTTAAAGCTAAAGCTCTTATCTTTGCCAATTGAAAGTAGTGCATAACTCAGTGACAAACGCTCCTGATTATCACCAAGGTGGGAAAACAAATATACAACTATAAAGTTCCAGAAAAAATAAAGGCAAAGATACATTACCTTCTTACTCATGGGCAGGAAATTAGAGACTTAACATCATTTTACTAGAAAAATTATAGGGGTAGAGATAACAGGCTAACGTATATCAAAAACAATTGAAGGATTTCAAAGGACCCAGTCCCTGTGATGTCTGAAAATTCGGCAGTAACAACCCCTTTAAAGCCACAGTTCATCTAGACATCCTAGCTAATACATGGCTTTCTTCCTAAGTAGCTTATTCTGTTATTCTACTAATAACAAAAAATATTTGTTCATCAACAAGTCAAAGGTGCTGAATTACATGAATCTGTACAAAGTGCCCAAGGAATGCAGTATACTGTCAGACAAAAGCATAATTGATTACACACCTTGGCATCAACCACCCAGAATTGGCTCCTTGCACTTTCGTAAGCAGACTCATTATTCCCCAACATCCTAGCCATCGTTTTTCTGGCAGCATTAAGAACACCTACACCTGCACTGTCAGAAACAACAAAACCAAAATATCAGTTGCTGGACAAATCTCCAAATGTAGGCAGGAATCATGAGTTTATTTTTCTGCACACCATAAAATTTAATCTTAGCTGCAAAAACGGACAAAAACTACTCAAACAAGCTCAAAAATTAGAGTTTCATTCAGATATATGAGATGAAGAACAAGAACTAAAAGATTCTAAAGCATAGCAGGACCAAGACAAGAAAAGAGGAAACACCCATCCATTTCCTTATTCATTTTGAAATATTCCCTCTAGTTAAGATCTCTGACTTCTCATTTAGGACATGTTTCAGAATTCAAGCTAACATTCCACTTCCTGCTTGGTATCATGAGCTCTAAACTCCCTGCAATCTTCTTCCCTGGCCTTTTCTGATAATTCAAACCAAACACCACATGAGATAGTAATCCCCTCCCCCCCCCCCCTCCCAAATTCCCCACCACCCCAACCAACCTACCCACCCACAGGTACAATAAACAAAAAAAAAATCAGAAAAATATATATAAAAAAGAATATCAAATATAGAATACAAGGACACCAATAACATGAGTACAAGATGCCAACGTGCAATTTATAGCATTTCTCTTAAGTCCACAGCTACTGTGACAATAGCCCCACCCCCACCCCACAAGCATATTTCCTTAAGACTTAATAGTTAATACTTGACATACCTTCCAGCATACTGATTTACTAAACATGCAAGACTTAAAATTCAGCAGATATTACAGTGCAAAGTTAAATGAGGAATTGAGAATAAAAACCGTTAATCTTCAATCATTAGGCAGTACATAGATTTTTTTTTTATTTTTTTTTTTAATTTTCATTTAGAAATATCTACAGGCTAAGTTAAAAGAAATCTACACCAAGTCCAGAGAAAAGGCAAGACAAGAGAACCTTCCAGCTCCGGCAACAACAATCTTTTGTTTAGGAAAGTCAATCATTGGCCTTCCTTGAGCCCTTACAGCTCCCAGAAGCCCAGCAATTGCAACACCTGCGGTCCCCTGTTTCCAATAGAAAGAGAATCAAGCATGTTACTTGTGTTCTCGGTATTCAAACAAAAGAAAATCAAGCATGCACTTCTGAAAAAAGAGATGGTCGGTATTAATAGCCAAGCATTAAATGAATTTTGGTAAAGGCCATGCAATAAGATAATCAATTATCAAAGTCCCCAATCTGTTAATTCGGTATCTATTCTAATTTCTAAGACTATAGTAGCTTCAGCAGCACAAACAATGACAATCTAGTTAATCAAAAGATACTTAAGCTTAAAAAGAATCTATTTCTTTGAGTCCATCTAATTTTATGGCTAAAATTATGTAAAATGATAATCTAAAATATTTAAAAGGTTTGAAACTAATTTAACATTAGCACCTACAAAGAATGCTTACATATTCGCAATCATCCAAATTCCATTCTAGCCTAGATTAAATATGGATATTAACATTCTTCAGAAATTCAAGTCACATTAACTTCAAAAGAGGAAGCAGATTTAACCAGAAAAGCTTCCAATCTAACTACTACAACAGAGGAGAAGCCCAAGGCAGCTAAAGACACGATCAAACCTATAAAAAAAAACCTATGAAGAAAAAGCACATAGTGAGGAGGCTTACTCTTGCCTCGAAAACCATAGTTGAAACATTAGGCATGAACTATAGTATCTGCTTACAAAACGTATTTACATTTCCTATATGGATGACTCCAAACTTACACAAGCCCTTGCTTGTAGTAGCATAAAAAAAAGTGATGGAAAGGAAAAAACATATTCTGAATATAGCATATAAAACCAACCTTGTGACGATCTAGACTAAGCCTGAAAAGTATAACTAGTAACTGACTTAGACAAGGTGAATGATAATATATACACTGAGTGGAAGAAGAGGAATGTATCATATAATTCAGTAAATATGTTAAATCCAGACCCAGCCTTAAGTAATTGATTGCTCATTTTCCAGAGAGCCAAACAAAGAACACTTTTATACGTCAAGGTTCTATGACTAGAAGAAACTAAAGGCTGACCAAAACTTCAAGACAAGGGCTCCTCAGCAATAGCATGTGCACAAAGAAACAATTAAAAAAAATATATATATAGTGATAATCCAGGGTTTTATTTGACAAAGCCAAGGAAGACAGGAAGTGTGCTTAACAAGAGCCTGATGCTCTAAAGTTGTTGTCCCCACCTCCCCTCCCTGGAAAAATTAAATAAATAAATACGAAGTACATAAAAACAATACTGTGGTACTATGATAAATATCAGACACAAGACAAGAGGGTTACAAACTGAGCCTTTTGGGTTCTAAACAATTAACCATTACGCAAAATTCTAAGGTGGAGAGCTGAAGACGCAGCCAGCAATAATAGCATACTTATACCTGTACATCATCATTGAACATTCTGTAATTATGTCTGTACCGCTGTAACAACTTGAAAGCCCATTTGGTTTGGAAATCTTCAAACTGCACAAGAGAGCATAAGATGGTGAAATTGCCACAGAAAAATAACAGAATTCCCAATGCTTTGCAGCAGCTTCATAGCATAAAGAAACTGACCTGCACAATAACATTCGGCCAGCGTGTATAAACCGCCTCCATAAATTCATCTATGACTGCAAGATAATCTTCTCCATCAAGACGATTTTCTTGCAATCCCAAATCTGCCAATAAGAAGTATAGATCATTACACTCCTTACATTCACATCTCTTATATGCTATCACACACTTTGATAAGTACACAGAAAAAACAGCCTATCTTAAAAAATAAAATAAAAATAAATAAATAAATACTATGTTGTTGGTAGGGTCTAAGAAGGTTTGGATGTATGCAACCTTACCCTAACCAATAAACTCGAATCAGAAGGTTGTTGCACATAAATTAATTAAATAAAAATTCTACATAAAAAAAAAAAAAAAAAAAAAAATCCGTTTAGAGAAGAAAATACGTTAATTAGTAAAACTAGAATCAATTACTGTAAAAAAAAACCGTTTAGAGAGGAAAATACTTCTATTAGTAAAACTAGAATTAACTACTGTAACATTACAAGTAGTACAGAGAATATTTGATAACGGCAGCAGCAATAAAGTGGTAGTAAAAAAAAAAACAATAAAAAGTATATTTGTACTACTACTACTACAACAACAATAATACTACATAAAGGATGCTGAATTAATGTTTGCATGTGGAATTTTCCATTTCCTTTGATGATGAGGTAGCTATCCATACACACCAGTACACCAAGAGAGGGAAAAAAATCTCACTGTAAAGATAATCAGCAGTGACAAAGTTCACTAATTTTGGAAAGCAGTAAGTCTTCACAGACTTGCTAAATTAGATCGCTTAGGAACAAAAGATGTGAGATTTACCACTTCATCCTTTCCTTTGCATATGGTTGGTACACCCTTGGTTTGTCTTTTATATGTCTATATGACATTTCAGAACTCAGAAATCAATTGTGTCAAACATAAACAAATACCAGCAGAACTAACCTCTCTACATTCTTTACAAAAGCAGCGAGCATAAGATCTCCTTAAGGCCTAAACCCCACTATAGGAGGATACCTAGTGAAAAGTACAGTGGTTATTTTATGGAATATATAAAACTAAAATTTTCGAAAAGGAAAGCCAATCCATCATACTCATTCTAAAAGAAAAAATTTGCAGATCATAGCATGTTCATGAGGCAGAAAATATTGGCGAGTAGCATGAGATCTAACAAATTTCACCAAAGAAGCAAGAGCCCACTCTTTCACACGTTGACTGTGAAAGCATTCACACTAAGAAACATAAGCTACATTCAATACACCATGTAAAAACAGACATTAGATGTAAAAAGACAGGCACATGATAAGCATGTTTACGAGCAAAAGACATCATCTCAAATGAACTGCGGCTGATAAACTAAATTACCAAACCCCTATCCATGACAGGATTTATATTCTTACATTGAGGATCCTTAAGGAGCTTCTCGTTATTGGTTCCAACATCAATCATCACTGGTAACACCTGCCCACCAAAAAAAGATCATTAAGGAGAAGGGCTCACCTCAAAGAGTTGGAACTGAAAGAAAGGGTAGCACCTCTACAACAAAATCATCTCTCAAAAGAAGCTTCCACCAGCAGGGCTGTGTGTGTGTGTGTGATGCTCTACGCCTCTACAACAAAATCATCTCTTGTGTGTGTGTGTGTGTGTGTGTGTGTGTGTGTGTGTGTGTGTGTGTGTGTCAGGAGAACAATAGTTACACAAAGCATTCAAGAAAATTTCTGAATCAGTTTAGAGTGAAATCTTGCTCAGCTACACGTTTAGAATCATCTATAGTCTACAGTAAGTCTCACCTGATAATGCATGTAATGACACATGAAAGTATGGAAGTGCTGATTTCTACAGATTACCTCACCTAAAAATTTCTAATAGATATGGAAAGAATCATCACAACAAGGGATCAGGAGTCATATTCAAGCAAAAAGAGGGGGGGAAAAAATTCCAATCACGAACTACATCAGAAAGGGACATGACAAGAAAAGCCCTGCTAACGAGAGGCATGAACCTAAAGAGAAACTAAATACAATTATAATGTTGAAATAGTTGAGTTTAAAGAAAATATTAGACATTAGGATAGGAAAAAAATAGTGAGATATTTGATTTGAAAGCCAGATTCAGAAGCTAGACATAAAAGAGTGGCATGACTCAAAAGTCAAGTAATTACTCTTTGTGGGTTTATCCCGGCAGCAGCAACATATAAATCTAGTTTTCCAATTGCAATACCAATGCCCTGAATCCCTAGATCTCCAAGCCCCAAAATTCTACTACCATCAGTCACAACTATCATATCCACCTGCAAAACCAGAAAATTCTATCAGCATAAAGCAAGGAGAACAAAGGTGGAGAAAACAAGTGATTTGGAACATCAATTGCTAAGATAAAAAAGAAAAAGTGCAGAATCCTACTTCCAGCTTAACTTTGGCGCCAAATTATAAAGATATTCATATTATGCAGAGTATTTCAAGTGCGTTTTCACATATATAAGGTAATTTGAAACAGAAAACATTCTAGCTGTATTGGGTAAGCTGTTAATGACAGCAATTTGGTTCTGAAATATGTTTTCTGATTTTCTTATAGAAGTGAGAGTTCAAATTTTACAGGTTAAGCAAAAAACTGGTGCATGAAAACATAAAATAAGGCGAATCAAACATTATTTAGAGTTGATCCTAAAGTAGAAAAGAAAGGACATAAGAACTGACATAAGGCTAGAGCCAATATCATTAAATAAAAAAATAAAAAAAAATAAAAAGAACAGTTCACTGTACTGGAAAAGTTTCTCTTAAGGGTCAGAATAGTATAATTATTCATACAAAATAAGTGAACTAGCTAAAACTTTTGAAGAACAAATCTTGCATTTTGGATCATTTTGCCATGAGGAAATACCTGATCAGCAGGCCAATTGTATACCATTGACATCATCTCTCCACGATCATCAGCGCTAAAGTACATTCCTCGCGGCCTTCGATACAACCCGCTGTAATTCTGGCAAACAAGACCAACTGTAGGAGTGTACACAATAGGAGCATATTCTGCAATATTTGCAATTAAAACCTGAACAAACATTTAAACAGACTGTCAGAAAATCTAAAAATATCTAGGCGCCAACCAGATACAGCATAAATTTGTAAGTTTTAGTTAGGCATGCTTCTCAGAAATCAAGTATTCAGGTGTCAACTTGAACAAGCTTTGTACGTCAAGTGCATAACCCAATATGCAAAATTTTACATGAGATCACCTCTTTAGTTCTTAAATAACAGTTTCAGTCTTAAAAATGATCAAAGTCAGGGCCCAAAGTTTTCTTACTTGAATCTTTCAACATAGGCCAAACTATATGAAGTGGTAAATTCAAGAGTCGAGATTACGGAGGAAGCCCATCAAGGAATTAATTAGTTGATTACATTTGATCAGCACACTAATCACTACTGTCAAGAATCTACAGGACTATGTGGTTTCGCTAAAGTTAAAGGTGTACATAACACATTGAGACATTACTGCTCCGCAATTAAGTAATTTAACGATTTCCAGGAAAATTGTTTCAGCTCAAAAGAGGTTAGCTGGAACAGATGATTCAAGTTTCAACAATAGTGTTGGATCTGATCATAACTGGGTTATTATAATGACCTGGACAGAGTCAAATCTAGTAAAAATTCCAATTAAATTAATTCAATTTCACCAGTTCATAGCTCTCAAGAGTGTCAAGATAAAATTATGCAGCCCCAAAAAACTATAAAATGCATCAATCTTTTCTATGTGAAACTTGCAAGTCTTGAATCATTAAATGCATGGAAATACAACAACATGAATAACAAGGGTACTCACTCACTTTATAGTACATTGTCTCATTTCTGTCATGCAACCGGTTGAGTATTCTCCATTTTGCTAAAGCATTGGGATCAGATGGTCCATCCTTCGTTTGCTTTTCAAGTCTCCTTAGGTCAGCCACTGTTTGGTAACAGTAATTAATAACAAACATTTTTCAAGCACAAAAAGGCATCCACAGCAAGCAGTACCCAGAAGCAAATTGATGCAAAATGTTTTGGATAGTACATAGGATGTAGCCAATTTTTTGGTATCTTGAAGAAGTAAACATCAGAAATAAGGCTTATAACTAAATTCCAGTTCGGGTGGGATGCAAACAGTGTACTTACAATCATGATTCGAATCTTAGCATATTAGGATTCATGTATGGCTATACGGTTCAATTCACGATTCTACCCGATTTTACATATTTCTCTTAACTAGCGAAAACCTCACATACTTAAAACATGCCTACAAAGCTATAAATAAATATATATTGTCGATTACTGGCTACTTAATGGGTAAACAATTATTTTCAATCAATAATTAGGTTTTATTTTAAAACTTAAACACATTCAATGAAATTTGAGTATGACGTCTTGATTATGCATATTCGCAGCAATTCTACGACTCAACTTTATGATTCGATTCTAAGAGCCCCTTTTGATTCGAAGTAGAATCACGATTTTGAAAACTTGTACTCATTATTTAATTAATTGGACGCATTGACTCAATGAATAAACAACAATGTAACATGGATCCTCTCTGAAGCACATTAATGCCTACGGCCTACTCACTAGAAACTATGAAAAATCCTCATGACAGTTCATAAATTGCGTATAATGTGACATTTGAAATCAAATTTAAATTCAACAATTGTCTTTTAAAACTAAATCAAAGACCTATCAAGTTTCAAAAATGATCAAATTTAGGTGAACAAAAATTTTTTGTAATTCAAAAAGAGGAACTGCAATATTGGGTGTTCTAAAAATTTCCGTCCGAAAAAGAAAGATAATTGAACTATTTGCTTCCAAGATATCCATCAATCAATGTTTTCCAAAGTGTAATGAACCTTGAATTAGTAATCTGATACCTAGATGACTAGTCAACTGAAGAAGATTTCTCCAGCAGAATATACAACAGTTACTAATTTCATACAAGCATTGGTGATTCCAGAAAATTTTATTAATAAATCAAGTCGATTTAAACAAAAAAAGAATCACAACACTACATAATGTAATATTCTTACATTCAAAATTTAGGTAAACTGCAATTGTTCTCAAAGAGGCTGCATATTTTAAAATAGGTTTAAAGTATTTAATAGTACCTAAGTGTTCTATGACTTTTATCACTGCACTGCTGGGAATTACAACACTAACATATATCTACAATGACTACATTTTGAGTAAATTTTCACCTCTACAAAACTACATTTTGCACTTTCCAGAGACTGCCTTCTTATTATCTATGACAAGGGAAGGAAGAAACAAATTATCATACCATGTAAATGACAAAACATAGTGAAAAGCTTTAAGCATTCGGCTATAATAGAAAGAGACACAAACATTGAATAGAGAAACTAATAGAGAGATAGAAACTAACTAAATCGATTAATTTGCTGCTCAGTAGTCATAACATTCGGTGGAAGAAGTCCACGAAGATCAAGCCTATCACGTTCTGTCATGGAAAATGCGGTGCCCTGCAATTCAGACAGTCATATCAAAAACACAATTTTGGCCAATCCTGAAGAATCGCAGGAAAAATGTGCAGTAGATTTGACAAACGAAAAAGTACTAGCAAGAAACTTCACAAGTAGATCAGAATCATGTAATCACATGATTTACATCTTGTCAAAAGAACAAATCCATATCTCACCGTGATATACTCACATACTAAGTTATGTAGTTTCTCATAATCTCACTATTCACTATAGCTAAAATATGTACATGCTCCCCTCCATTTCAAAAATATAAGCCCGTATAACTTTTACTTTATTTTTGTTATCAATATCACCCATCTTTTCACTTCTTATCACCATTCAATGTAGTACTTACGCTTTGTTCTATTCACCTTGAAGTTTCTCAAAAACAAGTTCAGATAAGAACTAAGCAAGTCCAACCAACTCACAACTTACAGGAAGATGCGAGTAGAAAGCTTCAGACTAGCTTGGATAAAGGTTTTTCAGGTAAAATAAACTGAAGCATCCTCTCTTCTTCTAGACAAGAAAATGTCTCAATCTATACACTGAAACCTTAAACTTCCTTAGTCATGAGATGGAGAAAGTCTTCGTGATCATCGTTAACCGTATTGAAAATATTGTAATTAAACATCACAAATCATATAAACTTGTTGCACTTCCTATATCAATCAATTTCATTTCACCAATACTACATCTCCGCCGGCTAAAACACTAAAAAATTAACCTTCTCTTTCAGCTAAATTCATTTTTCGAATGTATCTCCGGAACTAACTCTGTCTCCCGTACCACTCCAAATCATCAGAATTTCCACAATCTTACTCCTCAATTAAACAAACACATCAACAACACATAGTAATTCAAACATTTATTTTTTCTATCTTAAACAGCATATGAACATATGAAATTCACGTTAAAACTTCAATGAATCAGCTACAAATCACAATCACACTTCAAAACCTAATTCAATCAATCAAATTTCACAAACATTAATCAATCATCAATCATCAACATCAAAAACTAAAATCCTAAAAATCGCGAAGAAAAACGAAGTGAGAGAGAAATAGACCTTGTTAAACCAAGGATCATGAAGAATATCGAGACTACGTTTGTTAACAATAGCAGGACGATGACCTTCAGAAGTAGTGAACGATCTATGATTCGAAACAATCGCAATTTGATACTTCAATCGTTTGATCAAAGATGATGTTAATCTACTTCGATTACAAATCACCGACATCTTTAAACTTCAATTTCTTCAGAAAATCTGGAGAAATTTGAATGAATTTCAATGGCGAAGTTTCTTCACTGATGCTGCAGCTTCTACTGGGGAAGGGAAATTTATGAGATTGGTGAGAATCTTTCCTAATTGTTTGGGAACAAAATAATGGTGTGATCGTTTAAGTGTAAGTCAGACAAGGTTCTTTATTTTGGGAAGGTGGACCCTACTGATATTGACACAAGTATTAAGAATGTGGATTGGGCTAAATGGCCCAATCGCTTTATAATATTCTTATTCTGCCTAGATATAGACCAATTGGGTAATAGTATATTGCCAAGATAAGTAATGTACTGCAAAATGTTTTTGGAAAGTAAAGGATAGTTCAAGTGGTTAGAACTTTTTTTTCTTCTGGTGCATAGTACACTTAAGAGTACTTTTTGCTCATCTTGATTTTTTTTAAAGGTAAGGAGAAATCCCTTGCAAGTAGGGGGAAAATTAGGGATCCAACTAGCTTGGGGTGAGAATCGAACCACTCTCACGGGGATGGAAGGAGGTCCTCCAACCACTAGGCCAACCTTGATTCTCACTTTTTGCTCATCTTGATGATTAAAGGAGATTATTGTTCATTTAATCATCAAATGAGCATAAAATAACCTTAGGTGCTTCTCGCACCCGGGGTGTATATAAAAAGATTTCACTTTCTCCTTCTCGGTAAAACTTCCAAAACTTTTTATCTTCTGCATTTCGCAATAGTTGTTGTTTATGTGTGAAAAATAATCAACTCGAATAAAGTTCACTTCTAGAATGGGAGAAGATTAGAAAATCTTCGTGGGCAAAATATATTATGTTCATGAGTTTTATTGAAACAAACATAAAAGGTAAAATATTACATTGATAAATGTGAATAGTCTGGATGGGTGGCACGTTTAATGAAGGTTTCTAATTTTTGAATTTGAAATGAGTAAAAATGTTCATATGAACAAATAACCTAAGTTAAGTGCACCCAAATGTATATATACTAAGAAATTTAATGTAAACTAACCCTCAAAATTCAAGAACCATTGGTTCAAGGTTTGTCTTTAATATTTAAATGATGTTACGTACTATCTCCGTTATATATTAGTTGCAACTTTGGGTATTATTAGTGAGATATAAAATATTTCAAAGTTACAACTAATATGTAATGGAGGTAGTAGTAAAATACTTAACATTTAACACTAGTTTATTACTCCATACCTTAGCAAATTTGCAATTTATTATGTAATCAAAGGTTTTTTTTTCCCCTGTTTTTATATTAGTGTGACTGTGTGAGAGCTCAAAACTTAAATCTTTGGAAAATATTTTCCACTTTATCTTAGTAACCCATATTGAAAGTTTACGAATTTATTTTGATGAAAGTTTTTCATATGCCTTTGCAATTGGCATCAATTCCTCCGGACTCCGGTATTTGGAAGATTTGTTAAATCACCATCACAAAGAAATTTATATCAATTGAATGAGCCACTTAAACTCTGTAACTAGACTCGCTTAAATAAGGTTGTTTCAAGAAACAAACATGATATATAAGTCGTAACCTCAAATTGAGTAATACTCAATGCCAATTATGTTGAGATGATTATTTTACACGCACGATTTTGTTTCAAGAAAAAAACACGTTATATAAGTCGTTTAGCTTGAACAAAATAGCACTCAATGCTCATTATGTTAAGATAATTCTTTTACAGGACTTACTAAAAAATGAGGGTCACTTCTAGTTATTAATCAAACTAAACATGTTAAAGGTTAATTTACTATAAACATCAAGGATAATCACATGTGCATGGGAGTGATAGCTCAATAGAGCCACTCCCTGTTTCCGTGGCTTAGACCCGGGATCGAGGCACACCCCGGGCTTTCCCACCCATAGATTCCTCTTGTGATAGGAAGGACTGTGGGACCCCGCTTACCATTAAAAAAAAATAAAAAAATCAAGGATAATCACATTTATATATCTATTTACATAAACATCTACCTTCATATAAAAAAAGGTGAATCCAAATTTCCCAACAAACAATAGTAGATCAAAAGAAGCAGCACTCATTGCCCATCATTTCATTTGTTTTTTTATGTTTTTTATTGTCATAATAATTTTTGCATTTTCTCATTTTCTTTATTTTCACCGTTGAATCAATATCAGGTATCTTTCTCGTGTAAGATAACTTATTCACTTATTGATAAAATCTCACATAGAAAATTTACCTTATTATTAGATGGAAGCAGCCAAAAGTTGATCTGATGTATGACGATTCAACTAGATATGAATAACTAATTAATTTAGTTAATTCATTAATTCTAGTCGTGAATCGACCTAAACACATAAGCCAAACATTTGATTTAGAAATTTAAATGGAGTTGACATTTTTAATGTTGTATGAGATGTTCTGCAAAGCAAAGATGATTCATTTCAAAATATAATCGAATTCAAAATGGTAAAGGGCTGATAAGTAAAAACTACACCCAAATTATTATCTCTATCCAAAAGTATCTTTTATAAGTTAAATAATTAGTGAGGTGAATCTAAATAACTACTCCCTCTATTTTTAAATACTTGCTCCACTTTTTATTTTCGGAAGTTTTTAAATACTTGCTCCATTTCCTTATTTGAAAAGCTTTTACAATATTTAATTCATTTTTCTCAACTAATAGATCAACATAAATCATATTTTATTAATTTTATATTCTCTCTCCTCCAATTATCTCAACTACTTTTGCTTTTTTACAATTTTTTATTTTTCCACCAACCCCACTACCTCCGTATTTTATTACTTTCTCCAATTTATCTCCGCGCATGGAGAAATGGAGCAAGTATTTAAAAACAGACGGAGTATTAAATGATTCTAGAAAAGGAAACAAATCGCATAAATCATCTCCCACTAGCTGTTACAAAGTTGTCTATATACACCAAAATCATAAAAAAGATTACTTTCACCCCATTTCATTAATTTCCAATTCTTGTAATCTTATCTATCTTTCAAATACAAGTTTTCTGGCTTAAATAAAGGAACCTACTCGCTTACAAAGTCATAACCATAACTCTTAGAAAACAAACATTCCCACTAACGGCAATTAGGTCACAATCATAAACAAAAACACATTGCATTTAGACACAATAAAAACCACTTACAATACAAACCACAAGATCTCATCTTTTAAGCAATAATTACTTGGGTCCTAAACTCCTCCAAAAGTTAAGCAACACTATTTGGAGTCAATAGTACAAGAACTAAAATTACACTTGACACAAAAAAGTGGGCAAGTCAAACCCAATACCAACCTAACATCTTCTCTCTCCTCAAAAGCAACCCAATCCAACCCAAACTTCACCTCAAATAACAACAATAGCACTAAATAAAATTTATTAATGTGACAAAACATAAAATAAAAATACATTTTCTAATGGAGTAACTATATCAATAATAACCCCAACTACTACTACTACCAGTAGTACAAAATAAAACTATATCATAAAATCATATAAAAACTCTCCTGAAACTTTATAATATAAAAAGTTTTTATACACCCCACATTTTCAGAAGAAGACAACCTTGAATCTTCTCCTTCTTCTTCTCTCTCTTTCTTAATATTTCACCATCATCCAGATCTTCTTACCCAGAAATATTCAACCCAGAAAACTGAATAATCAAATAAGGGAAATGTCAATATATTTTCGACGCTTTAAAAGCGCAGAAAATTGAGGAGAAAGAGAGAGAAATTGAGGAGAGAGAAATTTAATCAGTCAGATGAGGTGCAAGAAGCACGTATCGGATTTCAGTAGTAGCGTCGGCGTTTGCGCTTCTTGTCTTCGCCTTCGTCTTGAAGCTGTTGTTGAAGCTCAATCTCAACCTAAATCATTGATTTCCGATAACCCTAACCCTAATTCTAATCATCATTCTCAATCTTTCTCCTCAATTCACCTTCATCATCTTCATCAGAAGCAGCAACAAGCTCCGCCGTCGCAACCGCCGCCGTTGATTTTTCCGCGGTCTGTTTCGCCGTATATTTCCCGGCGTAAATCCGATCAAACAACCACCACCGCCTCCGTCACCGCCGCCGCCGTCGTCGTTGCGGATATCAACAAGAAGCCGATAATTCAACGGTTTTACAGCACTCCACAAGTAAACCCCACTTTTGAGAAGAAGAAAAGCAGCGGGAAATTCAGTCTTATCTCGAAGTTATTCCGATCTAAATCGAGTGTTGTGAGTTCATCGTCGAACTCGGTTGTTGGACCCGGTGAGTTAACTCGGTGCAGTAACCGAGGAATGTCGCCGCAAAACGAGTGGAATGAGTTGGAGGAGAGAGAAAGAGAGTCGACGATGACGGCAACGACTCGACCGAGTCCGGGCCGAGTCAAGGCGAGTCCGGCGAGGTTGATGGCGAACAATGTTGCGAGTTTTGCGTTTTGTTTGAGTCCATTGGTGAGAGCTTCGCCGGCGAGCCGGTATCATTGGGGAGTTGAGACGGGATTTTCCGGCGAAATTAGGGTTCCGGTGACCGGGAAAAGTAACGGTGGTAGTTGTAATAATAATCATAATAAAAGTGGTGGAAATATTAATGATAAACCGCACTTGTCTGAAGCGGCGTCGTTTTGTGCGAATCGATCTAGGAAGCTTGCTGATTTTGGAAGGTTAAATCGGAAACGTTGACTTTGACTGTGTTCCTACATACTCAACCACTCAATTGGATGGATTAATGATGATCATGATGTTAACGATCATAGTAAAGTACGATACTACCTTTTGTAGTTTTTTTAATTTTTTTGTTTTAGTATGATTAAAAATTTAAAATGTTGATACCAAAAAATTGGGACACATTTTACTATGTACATTGAAGTTTTTCATTTTTCTACTCTATAGATGAGTGATATATTTTGCCGTTGGAAAATTAAAGAGTGACAAATATTACTAGTAAAAACAGTATTTTTATTTGAGATATTTAGTTATTGAATGTGTTGAGTTTTGAATATAGGGGTTGTTTGGTATAATATTCTCCGTAAGAAGTGTCATTTTGTTGAATATTTTGTTGAATCTTCTGTAAGTGTAACAATTTGATTATTTAAGGGGGTTTAGATAAGTTATTTCCTCATAGAAAAAGAAATTTATATGAGTTCAATTTCTAACGAAAGTACTCTGTATGTTTTAGCCAACTTAAAACAAACACTTAAAAATGTTACTTTCGTATTAATTGTGTTCTAAAATTGTATGTAACATCACTTAAGTGCGGATATGTACATGCATTATAAACGCATTCATTTCATTAACTCTATCCATTGCGACTAATCTCGATTTGAGGTAATTAACCTAAAATCGGGTTTTTACTTGTATTGGACTAGTATATTTGTAATTCATTGCGATTATTGATTAGAAGTGTTTGACAAGCATTAAGTTACATTCATTTTCATTTCACCTATTTTTTTAAAAAAATTCCCTCTTAATTTGAAGTGTATGGCAAGTATATACGAGTGGTTGAAGTTGACTTGTTTCTCATAACATTGTTTGTAAATTTTTAATTAAGTTTTCTAGCTTTTATTTATTCGTGCCTGTCAACTCTTAATTGGATGAATTTTTCAATGTTAACTAACTTATGGAGTTCAACTAACTTACAAATCTTAATAATTCTATTTTAGACGTAGAACCAAATATATTTAACTACTACACTTTTTCCCCTATATAATCTCCCTTTCTTTAGCATAGTTTCAACTAGATTCTAATCTTTAGTTAGTTTACCAATTTTATTATGAAAAAAATTTCAATTATTGAAATCTTCTACCTTTTTCCTAAACAAAAAGACGGTGAAAACAACTATTCAAACTATGTACATTCGGTTATACCTTGTACATGGTACAACCAACCTAAGGTTATTTTTTTACCCTTTGTGTAATTAGGACGTAAGGCAAAGGACTACAGGTCACTAAGGTATAATGGGTTATGTAGTAAAAAAGTCTTTGTAATTGTCGTCTCATATATCTATACATTCAGTGGCGTATCCAGAAATTTCAAAATGGGGGTCCAATTTTTTTTTTTTAAATTATACAACCCAAATAGATATGGATCACGTTGATTAATATTAATGTTTCAATATTTTGTGGTTTTCTTACTTTTTAATTCACATTTAGCATGTAAGTCTATATACATCCTCCGTTCATTTAACACCGCAACATGGGGGTAATTACGCTTTTCAAAGCACAATTTAACCCTTAAAAAACTTTAATTATACAATAGTAATAACAGTAATAGTAACAGTAATTAAGACGAGTCTAACAAAATATAAAGTGATTATTTTTCTTTAGTATATTATCTTTTATAGATTAACGGTAATTTATGGTTAAAATTTTTAAAGTTTAACCTAAAAATAATCACAATATGTGGTTACAAAAGAGTGTGTGAATAGTGTATAAAGTGCAAACGTTGCAATATTTAAAAAACGAAGATATGTGTAAAAAACGGAGATAATATATCATTTACCATTTCATATGGAGAAAATGTATGATTTTTTAGAACTTAAGAATTTCTATTGTCTGATTTTATGTTTTAGGAATCAATTTACTTAAAATGGGAGAGCAAAAACTAGTATATAAAATAGATTCTTTTTTAACTTACCTTGAATTTCATAAATAATTTGCAAAAAGGGAATGCAAGTGCTTCCCTTCAAGTCCTTATAGATCCGCCAATGTTTACATCGTCACCATTACCTTTGTTCCTTGCTACTACCTTGATGAAAACATTGGGTTGATTATGTCATAATCTACTAACCTAAGCTGCCCTTTTCTGTTATTTTCGAAAACTTTCATATCTTATGAGTTACAACTTAGCTTTATCCTGTAATAGTGAAAGAGAGAGATTATGAAAGCTAATTAGAATAACAATAAAAAGTAGCTTTCAAAAAAGGAAGTTCACTTTGATTGGTTTGATTGGAATTATTAAAATGATTAAATTATGTAATCAAACGTATTTTGACTGAGATCATAATTTACCTAATGGAGGAGAGAAGAGTTACGTGGCAATTTGTTTGACTTTAAAATTTATGAGTCGTCATAGTTGTACAACCAGATCCTGCCAACAGCCATTGCAATTGCAAGGCCGGGTCAGCGCTGGAAATAACTTAATTTAAAACACCAAATACAAGTTTTTTTTTTTAATTTTTTTTTACATCAACTTTTTGACGAATACATCAACTTAATTTGCATAAATTATGAAAACAAAACTTGTATTAGTCTTTGTAAGTAAACCGTGTTACTAATTAATTACTCCGTATAATTTAAGTAAGCAAATTAAATTTTAACTAATACATTCTGATTATTTTTTAATTTGTAAGGATTCAGAGAGGGTTACATCACAAGTAATATCTCATTTGTTTGACAAAATTTAAGCTTTAAAAAAAAAAAAAAAAAAAAAAAAAATAGATGCATGAAGTAAATAAAGTTGGAACTCTTGATTAATTTTTAAAACTTTGGCAAGGAAAATGCCATAATAACACAGAATTTATGTCTACCTAGTTTGGATTAGCAAGTAGAGCCCCTTAAAGTGTAAGAGAATTCCCAACCCAAAAACCTCCTCAATGGAAAGAAAATCTAATCTTTCCAATAGGCTAAACGTTGGTTGATGTGTATACTGGTGTTGATTGCTTACATACTCCTTAGTCCTTATTCATATACTGATCTGTAAGGAGTAGAAAAAAAGGGTGAAGTCACATGCAAATTGAAAAATGGAGATTCATATAGACTAAAATAAATATGAAGCACTTCCTAAGACTTGGTTATTTAGCATAGGACATTACTTCTCCTCTAATGTCTTTGGTCAATCTATCTCCTCTGCAGGAAGCATATTAAAAAAAAAAAAAAAAAAAAAAAAGAAAAAGAAAAAGAAAAAAGAAAAAAGAAAGAGAGCTTATTGATTTCAAGTTTATGGTATTTATAAGAGCTGTAATATGAACAAAACGAGAAAATACAATTTTATCACATTAATAAATAAAATATGTTTATCAAGTGACAAAACTGTAAATAATATTACTGTAGTGTTTTATGCATAACAAAAAAAATATACTCCGTAGATTAATTAATTACTATACCCGAACAAAACAAACTTCATGTAGATAAATGATTACTTTTTGTATTTAACAATAAACAATTAAACACATAGTTGTTCATTGTAGAATCTTGAATCTACAATGGAACAAAGAAAACTCGAGTGAAACAATTATACTTTTTATAACATTAAATTCTTTATATTACAAGTAATAATTCGTTTAATCAAGAATTGTATTTGGTAAACAACTAAGGCCTTTTTTGGTAAAGAGCTTTTAGCTTATTTTGTCCAATTAGAGGTTTGACCAATCAAAAAAGCTCGCTAATTTAAGTGTTTGGCAAATAGCTTATTAAAAGAGTTTTTTCGGCTCAAAAAACTCTTTTAGAAAAAGCTCATTATAAGAGCTTTTTAAAATTAGCTTATTGAACAATTAGCTTTTTGGCTCTTAAATACACTAAAACAACTAAAAATTAAACAACTATATACCAAACACTTTTACATAATCAGCTAATTATAACCAATTAGTCAAATCAGCTAATACAATAAGTTATATGAATCAGCTACCAGCTAATAGATATGAGATTGACAACATTCCTTTGGATAATCTTAAAGATCATTGCATATCTGTCTTAGAATTGATTGTGCTCCCTCTCTACCCCCAAGGTCACCTCACCCACATATTATAGTGGCATGACATCATAATAGTATTTATGATGAAATTAATAGCTAGAACACCAAACATGTCATGAGGAATTAATTTTAATGGTGGAAAATGGGTAGGACCCACCCTAATATATTTCCCACCAATTAGATGGAATGAATATGTAAATAGAAGCAAAAAGATCGAATTGCGTATAGGTAATACCCACTCACAACTCACTTATTATAAGTTAGCTTAGGATTGATTATCTTTATCTATGACGAATTGCGTATAGGTAATACCCACTCAAAAAGATCGAATTGCGTATAGGTAATACCCTCCAACTTTTTTTTCTTCAAATCTAACTTTAAATGTAATGATTTAAAGTTTTAAATTAATTAACTATACCACATGTTTTTTTTTTTTTTTTTTTTTGGCAAGGTTGAATATATAGAAATGAAATTATACATATTTTCTTTTCTCTATATTGAATTATGAAATGTTTGGGTGGATGTCCCGATGAAAAAAAATTTGTTATCTAGAATCTATATGATATACTCGTGTATTATGGTTAAGATGATTAGTATGTTAATCGAGCGGAAATGCAACCATTAGTACTTACTAATTACTATTTAGGATTTGATATTTAATATTAAATTGTATTCTGAAACATTGTTGATAATGAAAAATAAAAGCTAGTGGTATTTGTAAGGCAGGCAAGTAATTTTTAACATTTCTTGTGTTGCATATAAACCCTATCATTGGAGCAATTACTCCATGACGCTAGCTAGTTCAAGCAAATGGGAAGCATGGTATTTGCATAAAAGAAATTGGAGGGTAAAGGAGGATTCTATTTAAGTAAGAATTGATTAGCCTTCTAAAACATAGAGAAGATTTAGAAACAATTACATACCAAAAGGTTATGGAAAGGATTTGACCATGAGTGAATGCTTTAGTATCTTGGGTCGATCATCCAGAAAAATGGTGACATTGATCAAGACGTGGCTCATAGGATTAAGTCGGGGTGACTTAAATGGAGAGCGGCCACGGGAGTGTTATGTGACCGAAGAATTCTCTTACAGTTGAAGGGAAAATTCTACAGGACTGCCATAAGACCAGTGTTGCTCTATGGTACAGAATGTTGGGCTTTTAAGAACGAGCACATTAAAAAGATGGAGGTTACGGAAATGCGCATGTTAAGGTGGATGTGTGGGAACTCTCTAAGAGATAGAATTGGGAATGAGGTTATTCGCAAGAAAATAGGTGTGGCAGACATTGCAGATAAACTAAGGGAAAATCGCCTGCGTTGGTTTGGGCATGTAAGACGGAGACCTGAAGGTGTACCGGTGTAAATAGTGGAAGAGTGGGATCATGGAGGGGTTAAACGAGGGAGAGGGAGATCGAAAATGACTTGGTT